ATAGAATTTGGAAATCTTGGAAACTGTGCAGAAAACAAGCTTTGAATTTGATCACCTCTCTACTTTCACAAAATTGTAATTTTTCCTGTAAAACTTCAAAGCAAGAGCAACAATAAATAGTTGATGAGGGAAATTTTCTCTTTATAACAATTTAGGTTCCAGCTAATAAATGAAAACAGAATGATAAAAAAAATCACTATTTGCAACTTCTAATGATGTAATGGACCTAGGCTCTCATAAGTATCTAGTATAACTTTTAAAAGACACAACTAAATATCTTGTATCTTCCTTTGAAGGTAGCTAACCCACCTAGAAAATAGTTTTGAAAAAACACACAAAATATATAAATCTGAATCTGATCAAGCTTCTAGATTCCTTCATAGGAAATACAGAGTGGTGGGGAGGAACATGATAAACACAAGTCTAGAGCAAATTTAGACTGTGTGAAACCCTTCAAGGCAAAGGATCTGGTTTCTTCCACAAGTATATTGCAAAGAAAAAAAAAGAGGGGTGGCCTATAGATTAAAAATATAGCAACAAATTGCAATGTATGGAACTTATTTGAATCTTGATACGAACAAGCAAACTGCTCCCCCCAAATGTGACACAATTAGGGAAAAATTTGAACACCGGCTAGATATTTGATAATATTAAGATGCTATTTTTAATTTTTAAGGCTGAGTATAATTTATTTATTTATTTATTTATTAAATCTTTATTGTTCAGATTATTACATTTGTTCCTCTTTTTTTCCCATAACTCCCCTCCACCCGGTTCCCACCCCACCCTCTGCCCTTACCTCCCCCTGCTCCACTGTCCTCATCCATAGGTGTACGATTTTTGTCCAGTCCCTTCCTGCACCCCCGCACCCCTCCCCCCCCAAGAATAGTCAGTCCACTCCCTTTCTATGCCTCGATTCTATTATAATCCCCAGTTTATTCTGTTCATCAGATTATTTATTCACTTGATTTTTAGAATCACTTGTTGATACATATGTATTTGTTGCTC